CTGGTTTTCTGATTTCATGTTTTGCTTAATAGGTCTTTTTGTAAGAGCCTGAGTTTCAGTTTCGCAACCTTAATTCTGAGTTTAAAACACTTGTCATGTAAACCATCTGGGAGATGTTCACCTCGTGTTACACATCCTTTTGGAGTGGAGAAGAGTTATTATTTTGTCCCTAAAGTGATTACAAGAAAATACTGAGTAATCTTTAATTTTGTTTTTTTTTGTTCTGTTTTTCTTTTAAGGAGAATATTAGTATCTTCTCTGAGTCTTCAGGAAGGGAGTCTGGGAACAAGGCTGCAGCAGAGAGAGCTTCACCTGGCAATGTGGGCTGTGGGAACAGTTCCCCAGAAGCAGAGGATACTGGTAAGAAGAGTCTTGTTTTTCAGAGATGTCTGAGCCTGACTGTGACAGAAAGGAGAGATCAGAGCAGTTTAGTGACCGTTCACAGTGTCAGTGCTTCCTTGTGCCTTCAGTTCAAATACTGTACTTGTACAGCCTCACAGAGCACTCACCAACACACTTCTCTATACGTGCTTACACTCAGTGCTCTTCTGTGCAGAAGGGTGTGAATTAGAGCAGTGAATAAAACCTGACAGTCTGGGATTTGTCACCAACCCAGATGTCACCACTTTGAGTTGATGTCCATCAATGTTTGCTGCAGAGTGACAGTGCTACAGAGGCAACACTGAGTAATGACATGACTGCTGGAGCAATGGGGAAAACCCCCACCAAACTGATGAAGTCAGTGCAGAAGTCCAAACTTTCTGTCCCAAATCACTAACTAAATTTAGTACCAGTCTGCTGATACTTATTCTAAGACACATGAGAAAAGAAAGCAGCAGAACACCTGAGGCCAAACAATTCACAAATCCAGCAACTAAAGGAAAAACCTAAATGTCCACAGCTTAGCAAGACCTAAGAGCACTTTGAATCCAGTTTAGAGAAAAGCTGGTGCAGCCTGCAGTCCTTGTAAGGAGCTCTTTCCCTCCCAGCTGTTCACCCAAGAGCTGATGGTAGAGTTGGAGAAGCTGTTGCTCACTTCAAATTGCCAAGTGAGAGCCTGCCTTCTGGGCTGTGTTTTATAGTCCCTGATGGAAGTACAACTGCTCCATGTGCTGCCAAGACCCATGTGGACTCAGTATTTCTTTTTTTGCTTCCCAGATATCCACCTGCTGTATCTCTCCAAAAGGGCTGCTCTGCGTGGGAGGAAGCGCCTGAAGCCCAAGTCTGGGCCGGCCCCGTCAGGTGGTGATGGCTGCGGCTCTGTGAGGCCGGGGCACCTTCCTCAGAGCCCCGAGCTCCCTGTGGACACCAAGAGGCTGAAAGAAGCCAACAAGGAGAACCTCGAGGCCGACCTGAAGGTGCCCGAGCACAGCCACTCCCAGCAGCGCTTGGACACACCCCCGAGCAGGGACCCGCCCTTGGCCAACAGGAACGGTGAGACAGGGCCGTCAGGGGGGGCGGGTCTGACAGGCGTGTGGAATTTGGAAACCTTAGATGGGTCGGGCATGTGCAGGGACAGCTGGAGCACCCCGTGGGTTGTGTGCAGAGGGGAAAAGATCTGGCAGTGAGGTTTCTGGCAGTGAGGTTTCTGGCAGTTGACTCCTCCCACAAAACTGTGAGTGAGACAGTTTTTCAAAAGGATTGAATGGACAAGTTGTTACTGGAAAGCCCCAGAACTTGGAGTTGTTTTTCTTTCTAAGCCTGCTTGAGAGGATCAGAGATTTTAGAGTCCCTGACAGAATTGCTGCCAAGGGAACTGTACACATGACCGATATTTACTGAATACTCCTTTTTCTGGATCTGCCTCCAGATGCTTCCAGGACAAGTGAAGCTTCTCTTGGGTTGCTTCCAGGGCATGAGGCTTCCCCAGCTCTTCCAGAGAAAGTCATTGCCACTCCAAGAATTTAGAGGCTTTCATCTAAGGTCACAGTCCCATCCATGTCCACAGTCCTGGTTGAAACTTATATATTGTCAGGACTGTTGTAACAATCCGTAATAAGTTTTTAAACTGAAATTGATATTTGCGTGTATTGGCAGCACCGTTGTAGCCCTTTGCAATAAAATTTTTAAATTGAACTAGGTGTTGATTTGTGTTATTCACAACAATTAGCAGATGTAAACATTACAATGCTGGAGGATTTGGGGAACGAGTGAGGGGGACTGGGGGAAAATATCCAGGCATGTCCAGCAGATCTCTCAGTTCCAGTAAAGCTGGGGAGTGAAATCACAGATTTTTGATAGGCAGCCCAATCCACTGTGTAAGTAATCCTGAAATGCAACAAAAGCTCTCTATGGGAGAGGTAAAAAAGGAAATAACTCCAGAGAAATACTGGCAAATAGATTTCTCTGAGTAACCTAAATACGGGTGTTTGGGTATCTGCTGGTATTAGTGGATACATTTTCAGGACACTGGCTGTGCAAACAGGTCTACACAGAACCTTATGTACTTCTGTAACACCAACAGGGGTGCAAACCTGGTATAAAATCCTCCACACATCACACATATTGAGACTGACAAAAACTTACACTGTTATAGCACGGAACTTCCTTTACCTGCTACTTCAAATCCCCCTGCATTACCCAAACTGAAAGACATTTCCTCAGTCATGCCTTACCATCTAGATGTGGTGGTGTTTTACACTTATCCTGCCAGATAAAGGAGTAGCAGATTTGTTCATATTCACCATTGCAGTTTGACACCAAAAGGAGACAAACTGCACATATATAGATAAGACAAAAAAGCTCAGCAGGATATGGAACTGATGTAAAGCTAATTAGAAAGAAACACTTTAAGAGTGAAGGTTGCAGATCACAGGAAGATAGGTTTCTGGTGGGGGAACACTGGCTTTAAAGAGAAGAGAAGCTCTTGGGGTTTGATTTGTTCACTCTTTCAGAGTGCAAAGATGATCTGGTGTTCCAGAGCAGAATCTGGAGCCAGAAGTTTGAGAATAGGGTGCGATAAGAGCACCAGAGAATTATCTCTGTTTATAAGAAGCAGCCCTGCAGAGCTTTCTTTGGCTTAAACTGAAAGTGGAAGTCCTGTTTTACTAAAGAGAACTTTGATCTATTGGTGTTTTGGAGGAAGAAAAAATAACAAAGCACCTGATGTCTGTATTGAGATCAAGTGTATCACAGAAAGCTAACAGTGCACCAAGGCAAGAGACCTTCACATAATTTAGGCTGTTATTTTCCCAATAGCAATAATTTCCCAGTACATGTGGATTGAAACAACCACCGTCACAGTAAGTCAGAGCTTTCCTTGCTCTGGCCTTTCACATATCACTAAGGAAAGGTTAGGCCAATTTATTCTCAACAAGATTTTGAATTCTTCAGAAGTCAAAACTGAATTCAAGTCAGGTTATAAATACTGTAATGTCCAAACTTCTAAAACCTTGTATTCTCTTCTATTTGAGTCCACCTTGTTCCTCTGTCAGAAGAAAAGGCTAGATATGGGACTAATCCTTTCTTTGATAGGAAACAGTTTTTAACAATAAAGTGGAAAAAAGGCCTTTGAATAAAGGTTTACTTACAAAAATTATACTGCTGCAACAAACACCAGGACAAAAAAGCATGGACTGTATTATTATCTGTGTTATTAAATGTGAAGTAGTGCTATTGAGTCTGTGTTTTCCATACTATGAAAACCCGCAGTACCTTGAGAATCCCTGACTGAATATTGTTATTTAACCTCCTTAACAATGCAAATTATGGTGGGTTCTAAGAACTCAGTTTAATTACTGCTATGCTTTGATAACTCCTGTGCACATACAACATTCAAAACCCATTAAACAACAGTATTCGTTTTTTTGGTAGATATTTGGTCTTGAAGGAAAACTTTCTACTAATTTTTTCTTTTTCTTTTAAAACTCACTGTTGTTGGTTGGTATCAAGACCTAGAAAGCTAAGGAATGCTGGAAAGGGCTGCAAAGGTATTTGCCACCCTTTTATCCAACATCAACAACAGAGTGTGGTTTAAATACAGACTTGTAAAACAGCACTGCTGCTGTAATCAAATTACTGTTGATTAGTTAAGTTAGATATACTCTGCAGAAGGTGATTATCTTTGGCCAATGTATAAAAGAGGGTTTAGTTGGTTTGGTTGGTTTGTTTTTTTTCAATAAAACTCAAGAAGGTGAGAAGACCACAGTCCTTCAGCCTGCCAAAACTCGTATTTCCTTGGACTTACTCTTTTTAGCAGCTTACTGAGAAAACTATGAGAATATTTAATATGCTGCTGGATCTCTTAGCGTGTTCCTGCAGGTGCTTGATTGGATTTACCTAAATCTTCCAATGCATAATTATGGCAATTGTGATGGGATAACCGAGTTGAAAAAGTGAACAATAAACAGAATTTTGTCACTTTATAATAAGAGTGTTTTGGGATGAGGGCATGGGGCTTGTTTTTTATGGAAAATACAAGAGAAAGTTTGTAGGTTCTCTATGATCCGCAGTAAAAGAGCTATAAGCACAAGGTGGTATCTTGAAATCCAGATAAAGAAAGTTGATTAGAAAGAGCTCATAGCATTCCCCTCCTTTAGCCGACTACTCACAGACACCTTGGACTGTGAGCAGTAGCATCTGTCTACTCACAGAGGCTTTGCTGAAAGCCTCCTCCTGCTGTAATACAAAACAGACATCAAAGAAAGGTGCCTTGATAAAAGAGGCATTTCACTGTTTGCCTTGAACTGACTAAGAAAAGGTGTGAGCTCTTTTGGCCTTTTTTAGAGAGATAAAAAAACCAAACCAAAAACTGTTTGTGGAATTCTCTGGAAAATCTGACTTATTGAAGGAAGTAACATTTTGTGATACTTGTGCTATCAGAATGTGCAAATTTTCTGCTTATCGTTCATTCAGACGCTTGTTAAGCCCATAATGGTCTTATTAATGTTTTAACACAGCTGAGTGAAATAAAATTACTCAACATTTTGGCTTCAATCTTCAATGATGTTTTGAATATGAGAATATTCATTTGGAGGAAGAACAGAACGTATTTTCACAGATCCATTATGTTTTATTGTTCCAACACACAGATCCTCTCATTTCCTGGGACTGCCAGGAGAGGCGGATGCTGATGTACCGGCTTCCTCCTCCACTTTGGAGCCTGCAGGCCAGCTGCTGGACCTAGAGCTGCTGGAGCTGGAGCTGCTGGATCTGAATCTAGAACTGGCCACAGGACCATTGTTCACATCCCTGGCAGCAGCAGAACCCAGCAGTCTCTCTGCATCCTCACTGCACCGGCCCACGATGACATTGCTGATGCTGTGGATCAGTGGTGCCGCGTGCTCGTTGAGCAGAGGCTCCATGATCTCCACCAAGACCTCTACATTCGGTCCGTAGAGGCAGAGGCTGTACAGGATGATGCTCTGTACATCCTCCACCAGCCACCACTGGTCCCAGTATATTCCCTCCAGCCTCTGGCGCAGGCAGGGCCACACACGGTCCAGGAGATGTTGCTGTCGACGGAACAGTCCTGCCCACACCTCGGGCAGGATGCCGTCCGTGGGCTGCGGCCCAGCTGGGGACAGTGTTCCGGGTGGGGGAGGTGGAGTGGGCACCACGGGGCGATGGGGGCTGTTTCCGGGCAGGTGGGAGGGAGCTCTCCCTGCCCAACTGTTGGTCTCCGGTGACTCCTCAGGGGCTGTGATGGCCCTTCCTTCTCGTTCCCTCCCAGCCATGGTGCTGTGCGGGACGAGCAGGCACCGAGGGGCGGGCACCTCAGGCCGCTTTTGCAGGGGAGTCGGGGGGAGCCTTTTGTGACGCCAGAGCTTTCTGAGTCACCGTCGCCAGCGAGGTCACAGTGGCTGCACCCGATGCGTCACAAGGGGGTCCCCGGCTCCCCAATAAAAGCGGGTGAGCCGCACGCCCCGCACACCACCATGGCCCGTACCGCCGGCGGCTTGCCCGCGAGGCGCCGCAGCGGAGCCGCAGCCGCCGCCGCTCCCGCCGCCGGGGCGCGCGGGAAGGCGGCGGGCTGGATTCCCGCCGCTCCAGATACCGCCGGCGCCGCCGGGGCGGCAGGAGGCGCAGACGCCGCTGAGCGGGCACCGGGCAGCGCGGACCAGGCCCCGTACGGACACACGGCGGGCCGGACAATAAATTAGCACGGCAAACGTCACATGGGTGTGCTTGTCTCTGCTTCGCCCCCCTCACAGCGCCTCACGCCTCAGGGCTCCCCCGTGGGTCGCGCTGCTCGGAACCCGCGCCCGCATTCCACGTGTTCCATCTGCTGCCGCTCCTGTGTTTCCAGCTCCGCTGTTCGACAACAGCGCTCCCAAACTCTGTCCCTCCCCGTTTTTCTGTGCCCTGTTCATGTCCATCCCAAAGCTGAATCAAGAAGGAGTGTGAATTGCAGACCTTTTCAGAGGTCCCCTACCTGATATTCGTGCTGTATAGGAATATATTTGCATCAGTTAATCAAATTTATTTACATCAAATGGTGAATATTTTTACATAACTATTCCTTATTTGCACAAATTCATCAAGTGATGAATTTCTTACATAAATGATGCCCCTTATTTACATAAATTCATCTTCACAGCTGGCAAAGCTTCAGTCTGTCACCAGCGATTCTCTGCCGTGGACATGGTCCTGGGGCTCCCGGGCCCGTGGCCGTATCCCCCAGCACGTGGGCCGGTGAGGCGGCCTCTTGCTGGGCGGAGGGCAATCCTGCGGGCTGGGGACCCTCCTCTGGGGAGGTGCTGGGACGCCCCGGGCAAGCGGTTCCTGCCCCGTCTGAGAGCGGAGGGGCCGCGGCTGCTGCCCTGGGCAGAGGGACCTGCCCCCTCAGCCTGCTGCTCCTGCTCTGCGGAGTCAGGCACAGCTCGGGGGCAGCTGGGACTGCCAGGAGGGGTGGCCGCCGATGTATCGGCTTTCTCCCCTTTGGAGCCTGCGGGGCTGCTGGTGGGAGTCCCCTCTTGGGAGCTGCTGGACTTGGGGCTGCTGGAGCTTCTGGTGCTGCTGGACCTGCATCGTCCCTGGCAGCAGCAGAGCCCAGCAACCCCTGTGCCTCCTCGCTGCACCGGCCCACGATGACACTGCTGACGCTGTGGATCAGTGGCCAGCCACCACTGGTCCCAGTATATTCCCTCCAGCCTCTGGCGCAGGCAGGGCCACACGCGGTCCAGGAGATGCTGCTGTCGACGGAACAGTCCTGCCCACACCTCGGGCAGGATGCCGTCCGTGGGCTGTGGCCCTGCAGTCCCCTGCCCAGCTGGGGACAGTGTTCCGGGTGGGGGAGGTGGAGTGGGCACCACAGGGCGATGGGGGCTGTTTCCGGGCAGGTGGGAGGGAGCTCTCCCTGCTCAACTCCTGCTCTCCAGTAACTCCTCGGGGGCTGTGATGTTCTTCATGTTCTTCATGGCCAGGAAACCTGACAGTCTTTACTGTCCTGCTGCAGAGTGGGTACGCTGGATTTCTCCTTGTCCACCACGGGATGCAAACCCTGCAGAACTTGTGGTGACAGGGAAGAGAGGCAGCCACGCCATTTTGATGTCCTGGCACATGGGGCAGCCCCACTGTGTCTCCATGGCCATTCTGTGCTCTGCGTGGGGCTGGAGAGAGCTGAGGACCAGGAGCTGCTCCCCCTCGCCGGCACGCTCGGCAGGAGTCAAGGCTTGGACCAGCCTGGCCCAGGCTCTGCTGGTGCCCAAACATGAACAGCGAGGGACGTGGCCTCGCAGTTTGACCAGCGATGTCAAAATGGGAGGTTCCCCCCTGCAGGTGCTGGAGCTGGAGCTGGAGCTGGAGCTGGCTCTGGCCACAGGGCCGTTGTTCTCATCCCTGACTGCACCAGAGCGCAGCAGCCTCTGGGCCTCCTCACTGCACTGGCCAACAATGATGTTGTGGGGTTTTTTTCCCACTTGATTTCCACTAAGCTGACAGTTGACTGAAACTCTGCATTTTCCACCAGAAGTTTTAAAGTCTGCCTGCTGGAGATAAAACCCTGTCAGGCACTTCTTGCAGACTAGTTTACTGAAACACATGGAGCCGGCATCAATGATTTCGTTGTGGTTCATCAAACTCTGCCTTTCCATGGAAAGTCTAAAAGCTACATAACCTGGCCTCTAGTTTACTGGAGTTCTGGGTTGAACTACGTGGTCAGCTCTTCTCCATCTCAGCTGCAGAATTTATTTCTTCTAAAGCTGTAGAAGTGGCACAGGCTCAAAATGACACTGAAAAGCTCAACAGAAATGCACAATGAACACTGGATTTCTTATCACAGGAACACACCCAGTCAGGCAGAGAGTTCAGTCTGGGTGTTGTCTTGTTTTAGAGACTGGACTCGCAAATTAGAAATCGCGTTTAGCCTGGAGGCCTCTTTAGAGTGTGCAGCTGCCTCTTGGAAGTGCAGGTGTGCTTGCAGAGACGGGTGCTTTGGGATGGTCTTTCCACATCTACCCTGGACATACGCACGGTGCCTACAAGCCTTGGGATTGCTTTGGAAGTATTTGTGCTTGAATCTATAAACACACGAGCATCCTTCTTCAGGAGCCAGTACGAAAATTCTGAACAGCTGGAGAAAGACAAGTCTGTACTGTGGTTCAAGACTTGAGGAAATGAAATGAAGAAATGAAATGTCTTTTTCCCCCTCTCCCATTTCTCACCCTCCCCCCCCCACGTTTTCTGCCCTTTTCTCCGATCACGTTTCTCTCCTCTTTTCAGTCACGTTTCTTGCCCTTCCTTTCCCCCTCATATTTCTTGCCCTTTCCCCCTCACAGTTCAGTCCCTTTTTTCACTTGTTTCCCTCCCCTTTTTCACTCACTTTTCCTGCCTTTTCCCTCCTCACGTTTCCCACCCTTTCCTCTTCACATTTCTCACTTTTCCCCCTCATGTTTCCTGCCCTTGTCCCCTCATGTTTTCTGCCCTTTTCTCCCCTCACGTTTCTGTGCTTGTCCCAGTCACAGTTTTCACACTTTCCCCCTCATGTTTTCCACCTGTTTCCCCTCCCATTTCTCACATTTCCCCCTCATGTTTCCCCCCCTTTTCCCCTCACATTTCCCTCCTTTTATCCCCTCCCGTTTCTCACACTTTCTCCATCACATTTCCTGCCCTTTCCCCCTCACATTTCCTGCATTTTTTCACGTTCTCAGTGTCTGTTTCTCTTCAGTGGTGTTTGGCCTTCTCTTCTTTTTATTTTTTTTTCCTGCAATGCCCTACTCAAGTAATGCTTCCTTGAGCAGCAGCCTGAGAAGCCCTAGCCTGTGAGTCTGTCTGTTGCTGAACAGAAGGTCGTGCTGAACCAGAAGAATCTTAGGGAAAAACAAACCAGAGTGGACTTCCTGCTGGAATTTTGGTGTTTGGGGGGTTTTTTTGTTTGTTTGTTTGTTTTTTCCCCAAACTCTATGTACATAGTCTTCTTAGTGTTCTAAAACAAATAGGTAGCCTTAGGCATACATGTCTCAGAGAAGCACCCACTGCACAATGGACTTCAAGTAGATCCCATCTCCTTCTTAAGAGTCACCTCAGAGTCACTATGACTCCTGTCTGAAAGAAACCTGCCCTGATGGCTCTTTAGGTTAAAGGAAGTCCATCTGGACAAGAAGTGCTTTTGGCCCTTTGTTGCCTCCATATAACTTTAAAAGGTGCAAACCACGGAGTTTCTTCCCATTTTCACCTATTTGGACTGACTTGACATCAGATGAAAGCACTGAGAGCCGAGGTTACAAACTGGCTCGTGGATCTCTGCGTGTAGAGACCAAAGATGCAAAACTGGATCGATCAGCCCGTTGTTCATTACTGTCCATCTAAACAGGGGGCTGAAAGTGGGGGCTCCGCCTGCCCTCTGCTGCTCTGGGGCCAGGGCTGGGGAGGGAGAGACCAGGGATGGCCCTGGGAGGCGCCTCCAGCTCCAGGCACCATCTTGTGTGTGGCTGCAGTCCCGGCTGCCATCTTGTGCGGTCTCTTGTGCCTCCAGGGATGGGCGCCTGTCTTTTTCTCTCCCACACTGGGATTTGGAAACGGTTCTTTTTTCCTGTGTTACACTGTTTCTTCCTTGTACATGCCCAAGTCGTTGTCTTGCTCATTTTACTCTAAGAATGGAAATAAGAGGGCTCAGATAAGCATCCATCCAAATGTTCTCTGACTACTGCAGCTTCAGCCAGCAGTCACCTGCCTCTGCTTTGCTCCTCCAGCATTCTCTCTACCACAGCAACACACATCATTCAGCTTTCAAAGCTTTCCACAGGATATCGTCCTCTGCCATCTCCTGTTCATTAGGATCTGCCTCCAAACACCCCATGAGGCTGGCTTCTCTATGCGAGCACCTAGGCACACACTTCTGTGCTTTCTTTTCATTTGGAGAGGACCGGCCGAACATTACAAGATAAGGATAATTCTCCACGTGTGATTAGTACAGGTTTATGTATTTTCTGTAGCCTTTTACAACCACAGTTTGGAAGTGCATTTTACAAAACTGTACGCGCTACAGAGCGTTTCAAAGACAGCTCTTTCAAATTTTCCTTTTCTTTCCTAAATAAAGATCCCATTTCCTAAGCTGAGTCTAAACTACAGACCTTCTGCTGGGTGTCTGTCCATGCCCAGATCAAATCCAGGCTTTCTCTGCATGAGCGTGCCACTGGGAGCAATCATTTCACAGCTGTTCCATGTCTTTTGTGGAAGGAGTGGGTGATATCAGTCCAGTTCCTAGTCAAGGTTTCCATATCTCAAAATCTCCTGCCTTAATTAGCACTAACTGGCATCCTTCTTGGAAGCATCAGAAGAAAGGCCAAGCATGAAGAATGAAGTAGTCTCTCTCTCCTGGAGGTGAACCCCCCAGGACACACACAAGGCACCAGGCTTAATGGTATGAGGGCTGAATATGAAGTTTATTCTTATTAGATTAACTAAAGGCTATTCTCATCCTTAAAATACACCAAAAAAATAGCACAAGTGTGTAGTGGCCAGAAAACAACAGGAAAAGGGAAATGGGAGCAGAGTGGGAGCAGGCTGTGTGCTCAGGAGCTGATCTGCCCTGTCAGGCACCAGCCTAGAACTGGGCCGTGCCCGCAGCCCAGGTGAAATGGCCCTGGGCAGGTGGAAATTCAGAGCTCAAAACCAGGTGATGCCAGCTGAGGAGAATGGGTGGGAGCAAATTTGGGTCACAGGGGGAGCAAAATGCTGATATATTTTGCTCGGAACGGGTGTGGGAAGACGGGCACATGGCACCACCCTTTGCACACCCCGGGAAAGGGGGACACTGTGGAGATGTGGGGACAGAGCCACTGCATGGACTTGGGAGTGGTTTTGGGGGGGCTGGCAACCAAAGTCCTGCTCCTGAGTGGGGTGCAGGGACACGGAGGTCATCAGAGATGCAGGGCACAATGAGGGACATGGGGGACAGGAGGCCATAATGGGCTGGGCCAGATCTGCACGAGTGACTGGCAGGGAAGGCGTTTCCTTGCTAGCTGCAGTCACTGTACTTCCCACTTTACATCTGCAAGAACAATCACCCTACAGGCTTGGCCCAACATCACTGTGATGATCAGTCAGCCTCCACCCTCTCTGGCTGGAACCTCGGCCGGGGGCAGCAGTCAGCAGTGTTTATGCAGGTCTGTCCGCTTTTTCTGCTGTCAATCCAGGAAGCGATTCGCTTCTTCAGGCCAGAAGCTCTGGCCCAAGCAGACTGATCGGTGAATATCCATCTGTAAGCTTTAATCTCACTGCACACACAAGTATCCACAGCTAAGGTTAAAGGAAGCAGACAGATACGATATTCACGGGTGACAATGGGAGCCCCTTCTTCCCCATCACACATGCATTTTGCACATAGGCGTCTTTCACTGGAAAGGCAAGCTATTGCAATGGCATAGTTATCCCAAAGTCCATACAACAGTGCACCAAAGCATTAGACCCTTCATTCTTCAGTACCTTCTTACTGATACTGACTAATTAGGTTCTACTGAATTCCAACCAGGGATCACCCCCATAATATCAGGGGGCTGTTCTTCCTTTGAGTAATAATGGTTCAGCTGTCTCTTGAGGACATATTGCTGACTGAAGGCCAGTCTCTCCCATATCCCTTGTAGAAGGAGTTTACCTTAGATCCCCAAATTTTGCATGCATGCAAAAAGACCACCAACAAACCAACAAAAAATCCGCAACAGAAACTTTCAGGAGGACCAAGACATAAAAGCAGATTCTGCTTATCAAACCCAGAGCTATTGTATTAAAATGTCTATGAATCTTTCTTTGGCATTTTCTGAATTATGGCTGTAGAGTCATTTTTGAGAGATAAATATGCCGCACCTAACAAGCCCAGATTACACAGTGGCAGGAGCAATTAGTCATCCATACAGTATTCCAGCAATTGTGTAGCATTTTATTCAGATAACTGGGCCCTGGACATTGCAACTGGCTTCTGATTTACGTTTCACCACTTCTTTTCCACATTCTGAGCCAAGAGTGTCCCAGGCGGCCAGGGGAGTGGGGCTGCGCAGGGAGGAGAAAAGGCTCCATGTGCCTGCGCAGCGAGGGGAAGGCGCTGCTGCCCATCTGTGAGTGAGGGAGTGGGGCAGGCACAGGGAACTGGGTGCTGTGTCCGTGGTTCGGTCTGCACATGCCATAAGGGTGCAGCTCCTGTGCCTGCACAGGGTGCTTGGAGGAGGGTGAGGAGGGTGCCGCTCTGGGGAGTAAGAGCTCCACGCTGGGGTTGGTTTGTACCCTCAAGGGTGTCGGATCCCTTGCTTTGTTTAAGTTTCTTGA